CAAGTAAATGATGTCTCCAGGTGTCTTATCCAGCCCTTCCAATTTCTTGTTCTATGGAATATCTTTCTCAGTGCATTTGATATTTTACTGTACCTCTAGATTATTGAGTTTCACCAGACATACCACAGAGATAAAGACCATGCTGTATGGTTTGTGGCAAAAAAGGAATTTGCTTGACCAAGTACAGATTATGAATGCAAAAGATAAGAGTAAAGTCAAGGGAAACATAAATGATGATTTAACAGCACCACGATGAAGTCAGTCCAGGAACTGGAGTGTTTAGATATCAGTCTGAATTTCAGCCTCACCCATCCCAAGCTTGTGATTTGGACACTAATTGCCCCTGAGCCTTCATTTCTCTGTCTATAAATTGAAGTATTTCCCCCTAATACCAACACATGTGTAGCTGAAACAAACCCTAGAGACCACTTGGCCCAAACTTCTATGCTATTGATATAGCATATAAATAATTTATGCAATGCTTCTTACTAACAGAGTTGAAGTTAAAGTCATCTACCTTCTCATTCACTGTCTCTAATCAGCTTCTGTTCCCACTGTCCAAAATGACTCTTCTGAGCATCTGTTCACCTCCATCCCCAACTTCCTCTATCTTTCCAGCTACCCCTGCACAGCTTCCACCAGGCCTGTCCTGTCCTCTGGCCACCGCAAAAGTGTGGTCATTTCTCACCATGTGCTTACATGGGGGCGGGGAGTAAAGAGAACAACCTCTCCCTGCCTTTTCCTACCCCATGATGCATTCACTAGTCTTTCCTTGTTTAAATACCCTTCCTCTCACACTGTCAGAGTTCTTTTCATCCCTTAAGGTGCAGTGACCTCCTTTAAGTCACCTTGATTCTCACAGGGAGAGCTCTCAGTTCCTCCTTGCACTCCCTCAACAGTCTGTTCAATCGCTTCTCTCGTGACATGTCTTGTTTCCCTCACTAGCTCGTGGTGTTTCCTAAGGGTCAAGATCAGATCTCATTTTATTTACTCACCGCAGTGTCAACGCTCAGTACAGTGTCTGGCAGGTTGTGGGCGCCACAGCAGTTGTCGTAGGAATAAATTCCTTCCCAAGGAAAGCGCCTCTGATCCAGCCGAGCTCTCTATGTTTGGTGTTACCTAGTTGTATCCAGAACCATGGATAGAGACTGCATAACATGTGTCATTGTTCATGGGTGCCTAACAGACCCAGTCAATGTGGTCTCTGCTGAAATTCAGATCAGGACCTCTGTTGTTGGAGACTTCTGTTTAAGTATCCAGGCAAGCAAATGACACCTCAAAAGTCGGATCCTAGGACAAATATGAATTCTGGTGTGTAAGTGTTTGTTTGCATAATACTTATGACTGAAATATGTACCCCACCAGATTCTTCTACCACTAGTCCCTCTTCACTAGAAATTGGGTAGACAGATAGGTAGAGACACCTGAGACTGGTTAAACCCTCTTCTCTGCCCTTCCCTTGAGCTCCAGGCTCGTCCTTACCAGGTGGTAATGTCTATAGAAACAGCAAGTACTCTTATTTAACTCCAGATGCTCTGGCACAAAGTACTCGTCCTTCGTTTTGACTGTGGTTGCTGCAGTTGTGATGATATCTGCTCTTAACAGCCTTCGTGTTTCCTTCAGCTCCTTCTCTCAGTACATTTATGCTGCCTGAAAGACCAGTCTCCCAGTCAGGACTGGAAATCTTTCATCTCCCGTTATTCCTCCCACTTTGCACACTCGTATCTACTTAGTTTACTTTCCCCACCCAGTACTGACCTCTGGGATTTTCCATGTTGTATGATCTTCTAAGCCACTGCTTCTCAAGGTAGCGTACTTTGCTGACTCCTTGCCCCCAACTCCATCCACAAGAATAGGCCTGAGGTACCACGAGTCCGTGTAAATTCCATGATAAATCACAGATATTCCCATAGTCATAATCCTCTAAATGGCCATGCCTGGTCACCACGTCAGTGACCTCCCTGTCAACTCTCCGTTGGTCTCACTGACCATCGTGGCTCTATTTTTGAATTAGATGCAATGTCCCAGTCCTGTCTCCTGGCCAGGAACACACCACAAGCCCACTAGTTAAATCTCTGAATGCTCTTGCAACCCTGACATTTACTAAAAATTGTACTAAATCTTCTATTACATTGTTGTCCACACTGTTGTTGTCTATACGATATTAATATTGTGATAAGGTATTGATCCTGAGTGAAAAGGACAATCTTTAACATAACAAAGATGTAACTTACCTTCAGATGTAGATTGACTAAGCAGAAAAATTCTTGTCAGCGCTTTTAATTCATTTGCCTCTTATGTGGATACTGCATGTGATTTACATTTCTTTAGTGTCCTCTGCCTCCAGATTCAGAAGGTAGATAGATGATAGATAAGTAGATAGATAGATAAATAGATAAGCAGATAGATGATAGATAGATAGATAGATAGATGCTGTTGCCCCAATATTATCCTTACTCCTGTTCTGAATTTAAAAAAAAGTCCTATAAACTTCAAATAAGGATTGCACCTGTAAATGTCATTATAAATCACTATCAGAAAATAGACATGAGTGTGATGTGCTGTATTCTTAATAATGTGATGCACCAGTTGAGTTTTAACACATTGGAGTGAACACTGAATCACAAAGTACTGCAGGCATTCATTGTAAATCTTGAGGAAGAAACCATAACTGGGCTGCCAAGGTTTGAAATTGCATGAGTGAAACGGAAAGGTTGCCAGTTTCCAGTATTACAGTTACAAAAATATAGACTATGGCTATGTACTCAAGGGGTTTAATCAGTGTCATTAAAAAAATAACTGCTTCTGTTCATAATTTTGTCACATGTACATATTTCCATGGCAAAAGGCCAAATGCATTCAATGCAATTCAAGGATGACAAGGAGGGTTGATGGCCTCTAATGAGCAATTGATTACCAGTAAACAGAGCTCAAGAATCCACATTAAACTCTGTTCTGAGCAAGAGGGCCATTTCCATTAGCTGTGGCTCTTCATCTAAGCTCATTAATGAAGTAAAAAGCAAGAAGGGGAAGCAATTCTTGGGTTTTATTATTTGAAGATAGCAAACCCTAAATTTTGAAGATAAACATAAATCTCGATTTAAAAAAAAAATCGGCATGTGCAGAAATAACCAACAGGATCTAACAATTCACTTAAACCATGACCTGGTCTTTGGTCTTAAAGCTACTAAAATGATTGGGGGTTAAAAATGAATTAAAACATGGATTGTACTATATAATTATCTCAAAGACTGATTGTTATGCAAAAGTGTGTTCCAATTTCAATTTTAAAAACTACTAATTTGTTCTCAACAGCTGCAATTTGAGATCCCACGGGATGACATATGAGAATGCACAGGACACTTTGGGAGGCTAGTATTGGTCTGGTGACTTGATTCACCAAGACTTCTTGGCTGAGAGCTCCGCTGTCTGAAGCTGTAATGACATGGTGGTCACAGTGCAATTCATCACAGCTGGGAGCTCAGAATATATGGAACACAATAAGGACCTGAAAATGTACTAGAGAGACCATAGGGTATACCTTTTAAATATTCTTTACCATAGCAGGTCTTTTATGCAATGAAATAGAGAAGAGTTAGAAGAGTATGTTGACGTTGAGTAGGCGGCGTTGGTTATGTAGTAATAATGTCTTGTGCTGGCTTCCTGGAGTCTGCTGAGGTCTTGCTAGCACACAACATATTAAAGGTGTGTGAGGTCTGCATTGCATCTGCCTATATGTCATCAGAAATCATCTCAGCTGTAGGCAAATGTTTATTGAGTTCGTATCATAAGCCATAAGACATTGTGATAGCTGGGTAATGGCTGTAATGGGAAGAACACAGATTTCAAATAGTTAACAGTCATCTTTCATAGTAATTAATGTTCAAAATTTTTTCTGCAATTTTTTTATTTACTTAAGGCTTACCAGGATACTGTCATGTTTTTGGCTGTAAATATACATACTTTCAATTGATTTTCACTGCAAAAAGTAGTCAAAAACAAGAAATTCTAATGTTCATGAGTTCTCAAGTAGTGTTTAAGAGAAAGTTTATCATTACAAATCTATCATGTCAAAAAATTTGGCATGTATTTTCTCTTTATGCTTCATAATTTAATATTGTCTTGTTGATGTCTCTTTCATCTCAACTGATAATTTGAACCATTTGTGAGGTGCGATAACGTTCCCCTTTGAAAATCTCTTCTTTTAGGGGAATGGAAAGGGATTTATTAGGGGTATGCTGCCATAGACAACAGTGGGCCACACAGGCAGGAGATGCCTGTGTGAACCCCCATTTGAGAATCTCTTAAATGCTATGCAAATTCTCACCAGAAAAATGAGTACACTCATTTATATTAATATTACACATATTTTCTGAGGATTGATCAGGTTGAGAAACACTGCCTTCACTGCTACGGGAAAGAGCACATACATTTCTGAAGATACAGACTCTGAAATCACAACTTGACTGGGAAATGAAGAGATGACCTTTTGAGAAATTATCCTTATGGATTAAAATTGAATTTTCTATCCAAATTACTAATAAATTTACGTTCTGCCATAAATACGTAGTTGGGGTTTGCCCCTGGGATGGAAAATAAATTATTAAGCCCAGCTTCCGATAAGTTTAGGATGAATTTAGGTCAGAATATTAAGGCTTTCCTAAGCATGACCCGCTGTGAAATTGATCATGGCCTAGCTATCTGCATAGGCACCATACAGCTTGGTTAAGGCTGCGGCTGCTACTGCAATGGACAAGCTACAATCTTACGACGTCTTTTAAAGTGTAGTTGAGTCCAGTCATCCTTTTTGTACTTCTGGGCCCCAGAGAAGCTTGGAAGAGTCAATGCCGTTAGTTTGTCTTTGGAACATTTCCAGAGCTGAGCAGGTGATACCGTACACATATCCCAGTGTTGACATTTGGGGAGAGCAAGTGGCTCCACAAGGTGGCTCCTTCTGGATGCAAGTTGATTTTAATGATTTCTTTCTTTCTCCCGGGCAGGATTTATGTGGGCATCATTCATGTGACACCCTGGGAATGGCAGACGTCGGGACCATATGTTCTCCCGAGCGCAGCTGTGCTGTGATTGAAGATGATGGTCTCCACGCAGCTTTCACCGTGGCTCACGAAATTGGTATGCGGTGCCCTTTCTCTTCCCTGGCCAAATCAAACACTTGTAACAGCTGCAACAGGAACCAGAATACTTGGCGATTAATTCCAGATTTCTCCTGGTTCAGATGTACCATTGGGGATTACATTTGTTTATATTTGCCCTTTTAGGGTTAACTAACAAGAGAGAAGGAAAGCGAAGTCAGGCACACACAGTCGATATTTCCTTTCTGACAGTGCCTTTAAAAGTTTAAGAGAAATTTGCTACTGCCACTGGCTTTGTAAGCATCCGTAAGTGACTCTGAGAATTTGTTACAGTTGGCTATGGCATGCAGACATGTTTCTCTTAGCAGTTACTCCATTGACTCATCCAGGGGTAATCAGTTTACACAGAAATGCATCATGTTTTATTCCACTGTGAGTAAGAACAGGCTGCTCCTGTCAAAGGTAATCAGTCGCTTATGGGCAGCATTCCTGTCCGGTTTTATAGCGAAGCAAGTGGAACAGAACCTCACAGTCATCGGGGTTTGTTTTAAAATGTCACTTCCCTGGTTTGTTTGTCATAAGAAACTCACCTAAATCCTAACACTAGTAATTTAGGACAGAGTTAATGGTTGAGAAACATCTCCTCAATTAGGAATATGTATTTCTTAACCATTGACCTAGGCTACTAGGTATGTAAGAAGTTTAGTACTTAAACACGTGAGAATTAGACGCATCCAGGTTCAGCTCTTTCTGAAGTGTCTTCTACCTGTGTCACGGTGGTCTTACTATTTCAACTCTCTAAGCTTCAGTTTTCATACCTGAAATATAAGAATGACAGTGTATATTTCATTGAGTTTTTAGGGGCCATGTGTAGGTTATAGTTATTATTTATATCCATATCCACGTCTGTTTTGGTTTTTAACTAGTTCATTTACTTTATATATATATTTTTCTAACTATAGTCAGTTTACAATGTTGTGTCAATTTCTCGTGTTCAGCGCAATGCTTCAATACTATAGAAACATATATATATTCATTTTCATATTCTTTTTCACCATAAGTTACTACAAGATATCAAATATGGTTCACTGTTCTATACATTTACTTTTTAATATATCACCTTTTAGCATTATCTTTTGGGGGCAAAGTATGGTTTGATAACTATTGTACTTTTCTTTGCTATATTTGATTAAGCAGATTCAGTTTTCTTCAGCCAAAATCATCATTTTTAAATAGAAATTAAAACTTTTTTTTTCCACATTCCTCATAAGCAGAGAAAGTTTCATAATGTGTTGATTTTGGGCTGCTATGTTTTCTTTGGGGACTTAAAATAACTTCACATAAAAAGTATAATTGCATAAGTCGGTGTATCAGAGCAATAAAATAGAAATCAGTAGTTAAATTCCAATTCTCTTGTGTTAATCATGACCTTAGTTTTCTTAACTGACACCCTTGGGCCATCTAAGCAGAAAAAAACCGCAAACATAACCACAAAGCCACTAATAGCATCACTGATAATAATTCAGTTTAACCCTTTATTAAGTGAGCACCTTTAGCTTCAAGATGGAGTCCCAGCTCTGTTTCCATGTCCTGTTTTATCAGAGGCAAGAGATTCAGATGCTCCATCTCCATATCTTCCCTAGTAGGTGGAATCAATGAGGCACGGCTCCCTGGTGGCTGCACTAGAAGACCTGGTGTGCCTGAAAATGTTTTTAAAACACAAACGCCATTCCGTGTGAACTTCAGGGTTGGCGTTGTGTCTTCACCTCTCTCTTACTCATGCCTATTCAACTAACTGATAAAAATGCAGCCTAACCTTGATTCTTCATCAATGTTTATTAGATATCTATGTGTGGACATGAATGAGTGGGAGAAACCCAAGAAGCCTCCAAGACAACATTCCAATTTTGCAGCGAAGCTAAGAATTAGTTCAAATACTCAAGAGCATTGTAATTACGTAGCTAGAGATGATTTTAAAAGTGTGCCTGTAGTTCATCAGCATTATTCAGAGTGGGAGAAGTCCCACAGGAAAAGCTCCCAGCCCTGGGCAGGCAGAGGCTGGTTTGTCTCAGACCGAGCAGAGGAATGATGAGGAAGAAGAGACAGAGGAGAATTGTGGCGTCAACCGTCCATATGATTATGAGCCCTAAATCCTGACCTTCTAAAGAAGAGATTACAGATTCCATGAAGGAAGAGCTATTTTCTTCCTTCAATCCTCTAGTGATTTATTTTCACACATTGACAGCATCTGGGAGCTTTCTTTGTAAGGGAACCACTGTGGCAGTAAATACAGCTTCTTTGAGGCTGCATTGACCCTAAGGGCAACTGGACTGGAATGAAGAATCTTCCAGCATTTCCCAGCCCTCCTGAGTTCCTAAACCAAGAGTTCACATAGGCAGACAAAGCAGTGAGAGAAGTCGGAAGCTGGATGCTAGTGAGAACAGACATTTTATTAAAACTACGTACAATATGAACTTTTCTTCATACTACAAGGATATTGGACATAGTTTTAAGAGAATGATGCAGGAGAAATGTGGGTTTCTATGCAGAAAAAAATCTAACCTAAATCTTTGATGTATAACTACGCTGTGTTCCCTTTCGTTTCTTGGTGGGATCATTTCTATTTACTTCTTTAGAATTCTCTGTCAGTCATTCTCCTGTCAAACAGTGCCTACTTAATGTCCCTTTTTGCATTACATATGGCCTAATCTGAGAAATTTAAGGTCCGGGGATAAGGGAAGATATGGATTTAATTTCCTTTTCATAAAGGTATCTGGCTTTCATTCACTTCATTTTCTAATTGCTTTATTATTCTTTAATTTCACTTTTTGCCTAAATATTGTGAACATGTGTTATAAAGTATGAGCTTAAAAATTTTTAGAGAAGATAACCTTACAAAATATTTCCCAATCATCTGTATGTGATTACAGAGCTTTGCCTCTGCAGGCAGTGGGATCTTGGGTAATACAGCTCGCTGTTCTGTTTCCAGCTCTTTATTTTTAGCTCCTTGCTTGAAACCATCAGCTCAAATTAACTCTGCTCTGGATTCTAATTCTACTCTGTTCTTCTTATGTAATTTCCTCCCTTCCCTTTTATTAGACATTTACTACTTTCCAGATTTGGAGGTTATATATTCAGGCTACATATGGTGATAAAATGACGTTGTGAAACCTCGATCTTGCTAAAGTGTTTTGAATTTGCTTGTCCCATTCCAAAATGAGCAACTTGCTTCATGCACACAGTATAAAGATGTTACTGTGCTCAATACATAAGTCGTGGAGAAAATTTCCAGGCTGTTCCCATGATTTTTCTACTTCATTTTTTCTGTAAGCAGTAAAAGGATATATTTGATGAAAAATAACACTTTCATCAGCCGACTTAAGGTTTCTCATAGGATGCCTCATTCCTGGCTTCCTCTTTCTATACACGGTGGTTTGAAATACAGTCATTAGAGTTGAATAAAAAGCTCTTCATCCCTTTACTCCCCTTTAACTTGTTCTTTTACTCCCTCCATTTAAAAATATCCCTACCCTGAGAATTTTCACATAAGGTAAATAAAAGCAAGCCAGAAGTCCTTATCTTGCACCTTGTCTGTCCATGATGTTAAAGTCATAATGAAGTGACTTAAACAAACAGTTCTGAAAAGGGACTCTTCGTGTGCCACATGGTAATGGGAACACATCTCCTTGCCTGCTCACTCTTTCCAAAGGAGAGCTAGAATTTGGAGATACGGAGTCAACTGATGCCAGGAAAGAGACTCTAATGAGTCTAGACTCTGCATAGGGGCAACAAATTGCCTGCCTTTTTGTTACGTTACATGTATGTCAACACTGCGTAAATTGTTAGGACATTTAAGAAAGCTGTTTTAAACTGTCAAGAACACAATCCCCATCCCTGGGCCTTGGGTGGAGGTAAGAACGTGGTTATGGCCATTTTACAATCCAAATGTGAACCGTAGCAAGTTTCAAGTGAATGTAAGTTTACATTTGGAGTTTATACTTTTAACTTGTCGAACTTTTATTATCGGCTCGTAATAATAAAGATTTCACCTGCTGCCCACATGGTTCTTCAACATCATAATTTTATTCATGTCGGGCCAGCTTCTAACATGCTAGAGGGAACAATCTGATTTTATTTAGACTCATGGAATCCATGACTTGCCAACATGCCGAAGCTTGGCTTTAGAGTAATTAGAAAATGTGCTAAGTGAATCTCCACCGTGAAAGACTCCAGAATGCCTCCTAAGCTAAAGTCAAAGCCAGGTTTTCAGCTGGAGACTGAGGAAGTGGTCGAGACACAACAGTATGGCGGCCTGTGTTTTGCTGTGGTTACAGGGAGTTCTCTGCTTGTGCTGATCTACGTGTGACTGCCCCCACAGATGATTAGATTAAACAAGGCCATGTTTTGAAAAGCTGCAGAGGCCCACGAAACACCACAGACCAAAGGCAAGTGCACAGAAGCAGATGTCAGGACTGGCTGTGAGATGTGAGGTAAAAGGAAACTCGGATTCAACTGGGTATTTACCTCCAAACCCATAGCTTTAATAAACATGAACCGAGCGTCTTTTTTTTTTTTCCCTCCAGTTTGGAGCTATGCCACATTCTGGCTTTCTTGGCCCCCAGATGAAAGGTGTTTGCTACATGTCCAGCGGCAGCATTGAGAGATTTGGTGTTTTAGCATCAGTTTGTTTGTTTGTTTTTAAGTCAAATCCCAATTTTATTTCCCAAGTGAGGCCTATAGGTTTTCCTGCCACGTGTATAGAAACTCAACAGGTTGAAGATGGCATAAAATAAATATATCACACACTCAATGTGTGATTTTTTTTCCCTCTTATGATTAGAAAATTTTCCCTTCTTTCCCAAATCAAGAGTATCTAATAATATCACAATTTATCAAAAACCACTGAAGACTAGATACTCGTAAGTCAAGTTATAACAAATCCAAGATTTCAGTGAGAACAATAAAGTCAGCTAACAATCACTGCCCATTTATATTTGTCAAGCGTGTATTCTAAGCACTTTGCATCTTTTATATTCTTTA